AAAAGACTTGCTGAGAATAACTCGAAAAATAATCTGACGTCACTCTTAATCCAATATGGCAAACTACTAAAACTCATCTGTCATGTCATGTCATGTCATGTCATCAAAACTCATCATGTATCAATTTTGAAACAGATAGGTATATTTAAGCAATTGAGTTAAATTTTGTATGCATGTTTAGTTTTGATGACAATGCATGGTTAATTGGAGAACATTTCCGGACTCAAGGTATAACTATCAATAAAATAAGAGCACAGGATAGTCTACTAGATAGTACTCGAAATAATGACAACGTGGAGTTAGAAATATTTGTTGGGGCGAAGGTAATGTTACGGTACAATGTAGATGTATCCAAGGGTCTTATGAATGGTGCAATCAGACATATAACAGAAATATTATGGCCTTGCTTCCGGAGAGCACAAATATATGATACTGACATATCTTCCGTCCGTATAGACTTCGGTTAAGACGGCGTTCATTTCATTCAACCTAAGACCGTACAATTTTCAGCAAAATATAGTCACGGCACTGCAGAAAGGAGAATGCAGGGTAGTACCGTCGACCATGCCGTTGTATACTTGGGCTCGAAGCTCTTTGCCGCTGGTCAAGCATATGTGGCCTTAAGTAGGGTGAAATCATTAAAATTCATTCCTCATTGAAGAACTGGACTGTTCAAAATTAACTGGCAAACGACCTTGCAATAATGATGCGTTGAATGAGATGAACAGACTTAAGAGCTTATCAGGTGAAAACTAAAAAGTATATAATAAAATTAAGGTAAAAAAACATTTTTAAAAACAAGTTTTTATTGAAATGCGCTAAAAAGAAAAATCTAAACTTTTACAGTAAAACTTTTACTGTTAACTTATAACGTCATTTCAAATTTAACACATTTGACACAATTTATATGTTATAAAAGCTTGTCGCGAGATTTAGGTGCTCGTATTTACTTGCTGTCTATTAAATTTTAAAACTAAGAAAAAAAAAATACGAGTACTTAAATCTCGCGACAAGCTTTTATAACATATAAATTGTGTCAAATGTGTTAAATTTGAAATGACGTTATAAGTTAACAGTAAAAGTTTTAGTGTAAAAGTTGCTTTTTTTTCTGTTTAGCGCATTTAAATAAAAGCTTGTTTTTAAAAAGTTTTTTTTCCGTAATTATTTCTAAAATTTGGAATTTGTTTTTTGAAAATTAGTCATTTGTTTAATGATTAGCGTTCTGTTTTCAGCGCATTTGTACGTTTTTCGTCATAACGGATACGTTATAAATACGAGTGATTCTGGAGTATGAGTACCGTTGTGGCAGCAAAGCGGCAGAAGCGGCACGCAACACCAACGACGTATACGGAGCGAACAGTAGGTACTAACGAACGATCGTAACACCCGTTGTTGGTTTTCCCGCTTCCGTTCTGTCAACCTAAGAAATGAACCCCGTGGACGACCGAAAACTTTAGTCGAAAATGACGAATTAAAGGCGATTGTGGAAGCTGATGATGTGACCTAATACTGCACAGCAGACGGTCTCCAAATTACAATAGCTGGGGTTGGAAGTTCTCATCCACCGTACCAGACCTTGCCCCTACAGACTTCTAATTTTTCCAGAATTTGAATAACTTCTTAGCGGGGAAAATTTCAATAACCGAGAGGCATAAAAAATGTCTTTAAAGAATTTGTTGCCTCCCGTCCAGCAGGCTTTTTCAAAAAGGGCATCAAAACCTACCACTACGTTGGCAAAATGCATTGATTGCATGGGTAATTACTTTGATTAATAAAAACAAAAAGTTAAGAAAAAAGGGCGTTAATTTATTTCATAATAAACGGATTTTTTTTACTTTATTAATAAATCAAAATCATTAAGTCGTCTTTGAATCAATCATCTTCGGAATATTCCAAAATTGCAAAGATTCATAAATAAACAATGATATTCATTATTCAATCTATTGTAGAACCCAGCTGTCGGTATTTTGGAGAGAAATCATTAATTCAAATTTATTTTACAAACTTTTGTCTGAAACTTCGCTAGAAGAGAACTCTGATTCGAGTACTAAATAGATTGTAGATAGTCTTCCCTTAAAAACCAATTACTTGATTTCACTTAACAGTTTATATCCAGAAAATTCTTATCATCGAACTGTGCATTTACTAATTTATTTTTTGTTGTTATTATTAAATAAAATGGTAAACCGACACCTCCTGCTATAAATATTCCCACACTACAAACAGCCTCGCTGGTGCTAAGAGCCAAGCTACTGCTTAGTGAATAATCATAATAAACACCATCATTTCAGATCTAGTTGTCGTTTTTTACCCGACTGCGCAATGCAAGAGCGCGAAGCGCGACGCGCAGACAGGGTATAGTGTTTAACAGTCTATTTATGTATGTTTGTTCCTTTGTGGCACACTAGAGACCAAACGCCTGGACCGATTTTGATGATTCATACGTCAATCGATTCATCTCAATCATGGGAGTGCTACTAAAGATATGATAGTAATCAAAATTCAATAAGGGCAAAATTAGGCGCCATAATGTGACGAAGTAAAAAAAATAAGTTGACAAAATAGGTCGAGTGGGGTATCACTGTCTAAATAATCGAAAATCATGTTTAGGTTCCTGACATCATTTTTCATTTTATATGATTGTTTAGGATCTACAACTCTTTAAAGTTGTATATTAACCACTTGCGCTTTTAATTTTAATCTTACGTTTGCATGGATCTTTATTACTCTTTCACCTAAAAAATACTGAATGGATTTTAATGAAACTTAACAGTAATATAGCTCATATATGATAATAACATATGTATAATAATTTATGTAGTTATTGAGTGAATTGGCCAAAATATAACAATCAGTGTCACATAAGACGGAAAAAAATCTCCCATCTTCGAACCATTTGGGCCTGCACTGCAAAAACAATAAAAGTTACATGAATGTAATGTAGAGTGAAAATGTATCTCTTAAATAGTTCTAAAAAAAGTCCGTGACACCATATATCTATTTTTAATGTGTAAGCCATTACCGCTAAAATAGTGAATCAAAACTAAAATATTATTTGATATATATTTTCCAAATGCACATTTTGTATTAACAAATTATTTTTTATCAAAACAAATACTTCTATCGCTTTTGATATTTAAAGACGATAAACTTTTCCTTTTACACTATGCCATTTCGACAAATATTTAAAAAGTTATAACGATGACAAAATGATAGCGCGGTGTACTATGTAGAAGTAGACTGCGGGGATACTAAGAGGAGAAATTTAATTTTGGTGTTTATAAACGTGGATAAAACTTAGGCGCAAAAGAAAAAAATGGGCTACTCGCAGTATCTCATCCTATACGAAGTACTTACAATAAAACTGTGATACAGTTCCTTCTTATTAAACGATGAAAAATAAATGATCATAATAGGTATTTATGATTATTGAATTTTAATGTAAATGAATTATACTGTTTTTAATTTTTTTAACGATATTATTTAATGTAACAAAAAAGGTTTTCTTAATATAATGACAAATAATCCATTTTTCGCTAGTAGGTACATGCTTATTCGAATCCCTGTATTTATTAATCATCTCGCGATTATATTGATTTTGTAATTATAAACGACAATTCTGCAAAATTCAAAGTAAATAATATAGATTTTTATAGGTAAATCATCATCCTACGCCTATAAGTATTGCGATGTTGTAGCTAAGAACTAAGTTCCCATCTACTTCTATAAGGAAATTCATCATAATCGATTTAGCTATTAGGGTACGGAAGCGCAGCAAACAAACTTACTTCTTACTTACGCGTCTATAATATTATATTATACTCACTAGTGATCCACCCCGGCATTGTACGGGCGAAATTTATTTTAGCGGGATAAAATATAGCCTAAGTCACTCGGACAAAATGTATTTAAATTAAGAAAAATTTAATAATAAATAATGTAGCTACCTTATGATGAATTAATATTTGAAACCGGTTCAGTAGTTTGACAGATTATTTGCTACAAACATACAAATTTTACCTCTTTATAATATTAGTATAGATAGTTAGGATAAGAGTATTTAATTGATGAAAAAAATTTAAAAATAAAGTAAGTAATAGATTTATTTGATTATATTTGTAATAGTTACTTAGCATTAGTGCGTAACAGTGATACGTTATTCGGATTTTTTTATACAAAAAAAATATTTGGAAAGTAATTGCCATGATTGCACTATTAGCAATATCTAATAAGCTGGTAGCAGCACGCTTGATAGGTGAAAGAACTCTTTATTCGAGCCTTACACTACCAATAAAAAAGGTAAATTTAAAAAATCAAAAAACCCGACTCCTAAATATTACTTCAAATAAAAACTGAAAAGAAAAAAAGAAGTCCAGTAGTCTATAATTCTGTTAAGTAAGGAACAAAGCTTCTTCAACAGTCGGGACCCATTAGATATTCAAGGAAGGATCAATTTGTTTTCAATAATGGGTCCCGACTGTTAAAGTAGCTTTGTTCCTTACTTAACAGCATTATAGACTACTGGACTTGTTTTTTTCTTTTCAGTTTTTATTTGAAGTAGTATTAAGGCAGTCGGGTTTTTTGATTTTTTAAATTAACTTTTTTTTTATTATAACTTACTCCTGGACACGGTGCATTAAATAAGGTTATGTTAAATATATACCCCAAAGATCTTATAACCCAAAGATACACTGCAATTCGTTGGTGACTTGCATAGATTTTAGCGGCATCCATGGCATTAGAGAGGTCTCTGTTATGTAGGTTTTTTATTATTACTATACTCCGAGATACGGCGCATTAAATTAGGTTATGTTAACTATACTAACGCAAATATACACTAAAATGCCTTGGAAGGTGACTTTCATAGATACTAGCGTGCATCCATGGCGCTAGAGAGGCTCTTTTTAATGTAGATTAAGCTTTAATGCAATATTGGAAGCCAAAGTCGAATTGAAGCTTAATTATCATGCCAACTAACATCAAAATCCGTACCGTGTTACCTTGTTGCCTTCTAGGCGGAGTGTCGTGGAGCTCGGAGGCAAGGTGGAAGGCGGTGCCTCCAGCTGCCTTTCTGCACAGTTCACCGTGATGAGGGGTATTATTGTACCCGCCGTGTCGGACACGACATGCGTCATCTTGCACTCGCAGGGGCTCGGGCAAGTCAAGTGCATGGTCTGGGGAAAAAGATTTTGAGTTTATTATAATTTAATTTTAAGAATTTAACTGCTAAAAAAAGAAGGAAGCAGACGGGTCTCGCATCCGCATTCTCCGCTATCCGGTCAGATGCACTGACCAATGTTTTGAGTAATAGCGATGATGACTGACTGTTTCTTCGTTTATCTATCAGGAAGGTAGATTATCAACACATTTTTTTTCTTGAATCACTTAATCAAAACATTACAAAGACAGATTGATTTAAAATATCGCATGCCGTCACGACTTGATATAATTTTTACTTAGAAGTCACCACTCCCAAACTTTGACGCGCTTTATCGACGGACTAAATATAATTTCGTTTACTTTACCCCCCATCACCCCTATTATATATAGGGAGGAATGTTTGAGTCTTTATTAATGATGATCGATCATGTTACGGTTTCAAAAGCCTCGATGACACGGGGCGAGTTTACAAGCTACACGCCAGCGAGTTTGCTAGCAGCTTGTAAACTCGCCCCGTGTCATCGAGGCGAAAGGGACTGTTAATTTTTTAATTGTACACCTTAGGCAGGTGTTATGATTTAATTCAATCACTCGTGTAATATTAAGTGACTTTTATTGCGTAGCCTTACTTTGGGGTTAAGTTAGTTAGATTAAGGCCCGTACTACAGAATGACAACTAAGTGTTGATCTTTACTTGAGTACAGGTAGAAAGGGATGTCGCTATTTGCTATATATAGCGACATTTCTAACTATGCTCGAGATTAGATTCATTACTGAGAATCTTTCTATGATACGGGCCTAAGTTAGTATAGCAGATTTTACTTCTAAATTGATGCGTTTTTCTCGGAAAACACGATTGCAAATTTTCGCCATTAAAGTTTATTTTTTAAGCATTTAACTACTAGATGTGTAAATCGTAAGAAAAGTTTACTAGAAAAAAATATATAATAGCAATCGTACTCAAGATAGACATTAATATAATATCATATATCATTCTATACAAATACTAGGTGTTCCAGCGCATTTCGTACAGACATAAAAAATAGGGGTTGGTGGTAGAAAGGTGAAAATTTAGGGCTGTATGTATTTTTGTATGCTGTATCATAAAAAAAATTAAAATGAAAAATTTTGTCCAAAAAAAATTTAAGGGCGGACCCTTAATAATTAGGGGGATGAAAAATAGCAGGTGTCCGATTCTCAGACCTAATGAATATGTTTATAAAATTTCACTAAAATCGAGTCGAGCCGCTTCGCAGTAGTTCAATTACGCACACCGTGACACGAGAATTTTATATATTAGATTTAACTCTTTTGATGCAGCACCCTAGGCACTCCTTAGGGACGGACTTAGAATAAATCGTAATTTGACGTACAAAGATAAAATATAATAAATAAATATTTCCAACACTCACACCAATTAGCCTAGCCCCAAAGTAAGCACTGTAAGGCTTGTGTTTTGGGATACTAGGTAAGGATAGAATACATATAATGTACATATATAAGTATACTTTTATAGAAATACATATTTAACATCCATGACTGGAGTACAAATGCTCGTATTCATCACACAAACATCTGCCCCCATCGGAATTTGAACCCGGGACCTCTGGAGTCAGCGACACCATGAAACCCGGCGTACAAACCACTCGGCCACGAAGGTCGTCAAATAGAGGATAAAATATAATAAGCTTCCCCGTCCCTCTGTTATCTTTAGATTAAAGGAAATGGGTATATTTGTACTTGCCATATCCGTGTGTGAAACAGTAAATAGTAAACACGCACAGAGACCTTTCACTTCATCCCCAGAGAAATCGGAAACTTACCCTGATAATGTCCATGATAACGTGCAACGGTTTCCCCCTATACAGCTTTTGGTGACAGACCAATATTTTGTAGTCTGCTATCCTTTTTCTGGTAGTGGAATTTTCCTCCTTCATAGCCAGCCAGTCAAGGCCACCATCACTGCAGTCCCATTGGTTTTCTAAAACAATTCAAATAAAAAAAAAATAAGATTTGAACATAGCGTATTTTCCTCTCGAATTGGAACGCCCGTTTGGGGAAGTAACCTCCTCCTTGTAGAAGATCATAGTAAAATAACTCTACCTTTTGGGTGATGTTGTGTTTCTATCCGTAGGTAGGAAGGTAGCCGTTTATCATCAGGCGGACCATACGCTTGTTTGCCATCTTTTTTCCATAAATAAACGACATTTATATTTCTATCTATCTGTAATAAAACGCTCAGTATTCCGTCATAAGTTTATTCTCCACAACTGCCTCACCACACGATCAATCCACCAACACACTTAATTCCTAGTACACTCGTCAATTCACTTCGATCAACTACCCGTCTAGTTTTTGCGGCCGCCCTTTTGTGCGGCCTACCCTTCCTAACAACCGTGTTGCCAGTCTTTATTTTTAAATTTCTACACTTAAAGTAATAAATTAGATTCTAAACTACATAACCAAATATTTTTCATAAATTACAGTAATTATAGTTCAATGTTTATGTTTGAAATAAACAATAAATATTTTAAATTAAACCTACTGACAATCAGCCTAATAACTCTTACATTCGCCCGCCTTAAATCTAATAAGTATTTACATAAACCAAATCATTTCCGTAAATATTCTGATTTGTGACGAATCCATCAATTCTCGTCGTATAAAAGAAAACAAACATAAAACATGAAAAACGTGACTAATTTACAAACCAATCCATTCTTGTAAATAGTCTAAACTAAATAATTCATATTAAGATTAGTAGAGAACATTTACCAGTCTGGCAACCAGTCCATCCATTTTGGTCACCAAACTGAACAAAACTGTAAACCCATCCATTCTTACAGCCTTGTTAATGCCCTGTACTACACATTTTAATGTAAACAATTACCAATACCTTCATTAAAACTCATTCACTGAAAGGGTATCTAATCAAAAATTTATTTTATACGATTTTATGTAAAACTACAAAATTATTTCCAATCTGCTAAAATAAGTAAGTATAAGTAATAGTACATTTCATAATTCGTTCATTTAATACAAATAAAGAACTGAACCACACATACATCATTGATATATTCCTACATTGAATTTATTTTGCCATGAATAACTAATGTAGAACTATTAAATTTAACGTAATAAAAATATATTCTAAACATAATTCATAAATATCTACTTTATTTCTATCATCATTATTTCTTTCTATCTACTATATTATTTTGTTCAACGAATATATTTCATTTATTATTATTAAAACTAACTATTCAATTATCTGTCTTTTCTAAGTCACTTACGTCGGTCTTATCTCCGTCATCATCCTGAGATTCCTTTTTATTTGAAAAACAATTATCTGTATTATGACCCATCTTGAAACATCTCCCACATTTAATAAGCGGTTTGGGGCATTTCAAAAATGGGTGCCCATTTCCCTACAATATAACAAAATATAGTGCTATTTTGCGTTAAGTTAGATTTGCCATCCATTCTATTCTCATAGCTGTTCCTACTCAAAGTACCTCTATCGAATTTTGATCTATATTATGGCCCATCCGATAATTGTGTTATTGTTTGTCCCTTATTGCTCATCAAGAACTATGACAACTGTTCCGGATGCTCACATCGTAGTGTTATAGCACTAGATTTTATTGTCTTATCTGTCAAACCGTGTATGATACAATCGACCGCGCGCTTTCCGTCAATGTTGCATTGGTTCAATAGAGCCAACTTTTCATAAAAATATACTTCAATCGGTTCGTTGAGAAGGCTCTTTCGCCTCAGCATGTCCTCCAGAGTTTGGCCATAGTTTTGCTCACACGGAAATGCATTTAATAATTTATTTTGCCATTCTGTCCAGTTATAAAGTATTGATGGTAAACTTTCATACCAAACCTTGGCCAGACCCTGGAGTTTCTGCATAGCGAAATGCACTGTTATTTTATCGTCCCAGCCGTAGACGGTAGCGCACTCATTCACCTTATTTAGCCAAATATCCATTCGTTGGACTTTAGAGGAAGGATTGAAATCTGCCTTTTGGGACCATCATCGTGTCGCCTCGGGCTTCGGTCCCGTCTACGAGAGGATACTTCACGCACTGGAGTAACATCATGTAAGGGATTAGAACGATCATCTAACTTTCGTTGATTACTCACAGTTCGTTGTACTCGGCGGCGTTCTCTGTCAAGCGTGTATTGGAGATCGCGTGCTCGTTCTAGCTCTCGATCCACTTCACGTTGCATCTCCGACAGCCTAATAGTATTACGCGGGCTGTGATCCTCATTTAAGCTTCGGCGTTGCCCGGAGACACTTTCACGACGGATACGGCTACGGCTTCGTCTGGCTTGATTGTGTGTTTGCCCGTCGTAATTCAGTAGGGATTTCCGCAGTTGTTCCATCTCGCGGTCTATATTCCGCTGCATCTCGCGCAATTTGCCAAAATCGCGGGGACTGCGCTGTTCATTTTAACGACTTCGCCTAGGCCCACTAGTTACGCTATCACGACGGGTGCGGCTACAACTTTCGTCTTATATTTTCTTTTAATTACCGCCCCAGTGACCTCTCGCGTACCGGCGTCTGCAAGTGACGAGACTGCGATCTGTCCATGGCACTTGAAACTTGTAAACAAGGACAACTATGTATATATTCCAACGATTGCTCAATAAACAGATAAAACAGATATTTTTATTATTTTCTTATCGTAAACACCTTTTGTAAAGTATCTCGAAAACTATGACCTCTACGTAAAAAGAAGAAACATTTTGCCTCCCCGGACTCTAGTCTACATAACTTGATATTTAATAATGACACCTAATATGACCTTGTCCTCTTCAGCTTATTTGTAACTAGTAAAATGCACCACATAATAATAATATATTTCACAGCAATACAAACATTGATCTGAATCCGTGATAGGCAGCTCAAGCACCTATGTTACGGATATCAGAATCCATAGTGGTATAACTTATATATAAATATACCTAATACATAGTAATATAACACATACTTATAATACATAGAAAACACCCAGACCAACACAACAGACACGATCATGCACACAAATGTTTGTACCGAGCGGGGGTCGAACCCGCAACCCTCGGACCAGAGGCAGCGCTCACTACCACTGAACCAAACGGGTTGTCTATATACTTATAAATCTAAATTAAAAGAAATGAGTCACCAAATTTCTTTGTACGCGTTGGAATTGTGGCCACAGTTAGACGATGACAACGTAGGCCAGCGCGCGTGGTCCTCTGAAGGAAAGGAGAAGGTGGGATAAGAGAGAATAACTCCTCAGAACACTCGCCGTGGTACAGACGATAGAACGCACTTAGTGACGCCACGTCACGGCGTAATTGAAGAGGCTCAAGGTGTTTAGTCACCTCCTCATCGCCTATGATGCGGATCGCGCGTCGCTGTAGCCTATCCAAAGCATCGAGCAAGTACTTGGCGGAGCCATCCCAGAGGTGCGAGCAATATTCCACGCAGGACCGCACTTGCGTTTTGTACAACAAGCACAGTTGATCGGGCGTGAAAAAACGCCGCACCTTGTTCAGGACTTCGAGTTTGCGTGAAGCTGTTTTGATCACGGTTTCGATGTAGTTCTTTGCATTCAGGTCTGAGCGAACTTCCATACCGAGCATGGAAATGTTGCTCTGCAGCGGTAGTGTTGTGCCCTGAAGAGATGGAAGGGGAAGGAATGACGATGTTTTTGCCGTGAAAGCGCAAGTCTGAGTTTTTTTGGCATTGAACTCAACCAAGTTCCTGGTACCCCATTCGGAAATGTGGTCCAAAGCCTGATTGAGTTCAATGACAAGATTCTCGCGTTTCTCCTTGGTTACCGCCAGCCCAGCCGCTGCTTGTCCGAGATACCCCGCATGCACTGTACTATCGTCTGCATAGCAATGAATATTCCCAAGAGGAATTGATACTATTACCACCCACTACGTAACCCAAAAACTCAACCGAAGACTTCAAAAAGGCACACTTTTTCCAATTAAAAGTAAAACCGGCTTCTGACAAGGCGGACAACACTTGTTCTAGATTCTTAAACGCATCTTCCTTCGTCCTAGAGAACACGAGGACATCATCAACGTACACTAGCGCCACTTTGTCCTTAAGCCCTTTAAGCGCTTTATTAATGGCTCTTTGGTAAACGGAAGGTGCGTTACAGAGACCAAACGACATTTAGATATTCCCACACGCCGTCTGGGGTAATGAACGCGATTTTTTTAATATCGCTCTCAGACGCCATCAGAATCTGATGAAAACCTGATGCCATGTCTAGACTCGAAAAGAAACATGCCTGTCCTAGGGCATCAATCTGTTCTGATATGAGAGGTAAGGGGTAACTATCACGGACAGTATTAGAATTAAGTTCTCTATAATCGACGCAAAGGCGGTCCGAACCGTCTTTTTTCTTCACAAGCAAAGGGTGAAAAGCAAAGGCTCGAAAAGGGTGAAGAGCTATCGCGCACTATACCCTTGCTTTCTAGGTCTGCTATTATTTCGCGCATCACAGTTCGTTCGGATGGGGCTAACCGATATGGATGTCGCTGTACAATCTTATCAGGGGTTTTAAGTCTTATTTGCATCACACCGGTTCTAACAACAGATTTAGAATTTCCATTGGCAAAATTATTTTTGTATTTTTCTATTATAGACCGCAACCTATCTGTATCGCAAACCTCAACTAGATCAGTATTAAGATGGTTAAATTCTGCGATTCTATTCTCGATATCACACACGTTGACACTGACATCACGTGCTATCTTAAAGCCGTTACTGCTGAGTGTAAAAACCAAGCCAGGAGTCTTAAACATTTCCCTACCTAGGATTACGTCATGTGGCAGTAAGTTTGAGTCGATGACAACAAATGTCACTTCAGTATGAAGTCCATCAAATTCAACGTAAGTGGTAATTTTTTGGAATGAGAAGCATGCTACAGAGCCAATACCTGTAAGACGGGTAAACGACATTTCTTTCTTG